TGCCTAAACTCTTTCGGCATTATATACAATGCCTAGGCATTCTGCAAAATGCCGGCCTTTCATACTTTGCCGGTAACATATATATGTAATAGTATTTTGTACATATTCGTAAATAGATATTCTGTAAATGGGATTATTTAATCTATTGTTTACGTTAAACTACCTAATAAATTATTTTTCTGTTTTTAATGCATTAATTATCATATCCATTTTATACAGAAGCTTACTGTATACAAACCTTTTTTAAAAATTGTACATTATTTTCTGTTTTTTAAGTATCAATTACTCGTTGTCAATGATGAAATTTTTAGTCATTACTAAAACACAAACAATAAATTATACAAACTATAAAATAAAGAAAAATCGCCAAAAGTCATTCAGGGAATGAAGAAATCGCTTTAAATATTCCGAAATTTAAAATTTCAGAAATAAGCTGTAACAACAATGTTATTGAACGAGCATTTTATGTGAAGTTACATGAGAACACGAATACTACCTACACGTCATTAATTACGCTATGATGGCAAACTTAATCATTAACTACGTCAAGATAGCAAACTCAAAACGCTTTTTTCTCCTGCCTGCTTCAGATTGCAACGCATTTTTTTTTTTAAGACTGCAACGCATTTTTGCGTATATAATTTGTGACAATTTCATAAGTTTATATCCAATACAGTTTTAGATGTTGAAATTTTAAAAATAATAAAAGTCAAATACCCTAAAATTTTGAGCAAACTTGTAAAATTCTCTGAAAATTCAGAAAATAAGTTGCAATTTTCATACAAGTTTTCATTGAAAAGATTTTTTTTCGCCGCTGCGTTCGAGGGCGCAAACAAAATAGTTCTGATATACTTGATTTTTCGTTAAAATTGTTAAATTGTTACATCAAGTTAAGAAAATCAACTTTAAAATGAAACGCTGAGAAAAGAGTCTATAATCTTATAAAAGGGGGAAAATTACGAAAGACGCAACATATTTCATTGCAAATAATTTTAAATGCTTACTGTATCAATCGGAAAGGAAAAATGAAATTAGTACTAAATGCAAAACATACCTTTAACGAAAAAGAAGTGCTATTTATAAAAGAGCAGAAAACGTCTGTAATAAACCTACTTTCTTCTAAAATAATTGTTTCTGACAAGAGTTTACAAATAATACCGTTACCGGTATCTATGCGAAAGAAAACCAACAGTGTGACATACAGTGACGCCAAGTCCTCGAAACCATATTTTCAAAAGAAATCACTTAATGCTCAAGGAAGAAAGGAGCTTCTTAAAATCATAACGCAGCATATTTTAAAAAGATAAGTTGTAGAAAATCGCATTATTTTTGCCTAAGATTTTTTGGTGCTATTTCGTGATATAGGGACCGTAAAATATCTCCAAACTATTGTTGATGCCAATGATGCCAAAATTAATTATGATAATCATAATACAAGAAAAAAAGTATTATAGGAAATAACTAAGATTATGATTTTAATTTAGATGAAAGGTTAATTTTAAATAACACATTTATTATTATTATTATAATTTATAATAAAAACATAAAACACCAAGTACAGTTAAAACGATTGAAAAACAATTTTTACAATTAAAATTACAGTTTCTACGCAAAAACAAGCTAATAACTTAAATGATAATTCCAGAATGAATTAAGCATAATTTAATCCACAATAATAAAAGAATACGTTACTTTGTTGTTGCGAAGCTTAGTTTCTCTAGATTGGCAACAAATCCAATAGTCTGCTAAGTTTCAAATGTCAACAAACATGACTGCCATGGTAATCAAAAATTAGGCTTAGCCGCACTTAAAACTTTTAAATTGTTGATAATTCCACAATTATTGCATGCAGGTCAACTAAAGTCATAAAAATCTTAGCCAGAACAACATAATTCAATCTTTTTAAAGCAAAAATTGCACAACTTCCAAACATATAAGAGTAAAGAAACTGATATCACTGAGCCGAGTAGTAGAGTGGATGTATATATATATAAATACTATATTAATATGCGTTTGGTGCGGCCGATTAGCAACAAAAATACGAGGTGGCACATATACATGTTATAGCAGTCCTACAAAATTTCAACGTTTCTGAGGGCTACTCGTTTTTGAGTTATGCGAGATACGTACGTACAGCCGCCACGAAAAAAGTCTCTTCAGCATTCGTTTTAAATCAGTTTTATAATTTGTTTGGGGGAAAAAGAGTCCTTTATTCTCTCCCTTGCGTATGGATGTCACGCAGCAACATCGTTAAATTGCATTCGATAGCGGTCAAAATGGATATTTTCGTTGAAATATGATCCTCGAAATTCTTCGCGATTACAATACTACTGTGAGGAAGTAAAAAAGGCTAAACATAACTGAATGGAAATTAATTAGCTATTTAAATTTATTAATTTAATTCGCTTAAAGGTTAATACAATTGTTTTAGCTCCACTATACCTGCAGTTCAGATTTTTGAACTCGCCAAATGGGGAAAAACTGGTTTTGGAGATGGGTCGACTATGTCAGATGTCTCCGTTGACTCAGACAAAGAATATGTATTCTAAAGAAGAAAAGCTTCGCAGCAGCAGGAGTGGCTCTCTCCGAACGAAAGGGACACAACTGCGCATGCGTGAAATATCTGTTGCCAAAAAGCGCCAAAGCTCGAAGCTGATGACGAAGTTCGAACAGGTTCGATGGTCACGTTTATCAAGAGTTTAAAGCTGTGTGACTCCATTTGTTCCCCTACATATTGACAAATATAAAATCAGGCATCAAACTGCGATATGGATAATACAACTTCAACTAGTAAAGCACGAAAATTCGAGTTTAAATTATCGCGAAAAGTCAAAGAACGATTCATCTTAACCCGTGTTCCTCAATTTCCTGTACGCGTGGCAGAGGTGGAAAATCTCGGCCAGGTACATCACAAAGAGGGAAATTCTCGCCAACAGGTTCCGTCGCCAAATCCCTTGGCAAATTGTCCCTTTTTTTTCCAGCGGTGTAGAAGACAAACTGGTTTACATTACGTCTATGGAGCCTTTCCTTCCTTACATAGACTTTCTTTGACTCAGATAAACCCCAATCTTAGCCACCCTTTAAGCGCCGTTCCCACTGGAGATTATCTAACGGAATCGGTTTCGTGTGTCGACTAGCTCCGCTGTACCTGCAGTTCAGATTTTTCAACTTACTGCCCTATGGTGAAAAACTAGTTTTGGAGATGAGTCGACTACGTTAGTTGTGTTCGTTAGCTCAGATAAACCCCAGTGGGAACGGCTCATGGTGAAAAACTAGTTTTGGAGATGAGTCGACTACGTTAGTTGTGTTCGTTAGCTCAGATAAACCCCAGTGGGAACGGCTCTTTAGGAGCCCACTGCATCTAGTACTTAAAATCCATCCATTTTGACTGGATTTTATGACTTCTCATTCTTAGGAAAAATATGTGGAAGTAAAGGCGGTATAGATTAAAGACTCTACGAATGAAGATCTCCAATCCAGAAGTACTGGGATAAAAGATGTCTAATGTTTTAAGTGTCGAAATCTAGGCGTTAGCTGTTAAACAAGTGATAATTCACGCAAGATAGCCGAACGAAAAAAGTAATTCGGCTACCTATTAAACAAAAAAATAATATTGACTGCTATGAGTTTTAACTTTTGATATGAATCTAACGTTGTCAACTGTCTCTATTCCAGGACGATCTGTACAGATACTGAAGCAAACTCATATTTATGAAAAATTCGTCATTATTAAGATAATGTCTTCCTTTCTTGTGCGCCCTTTCGTAGAATGACAAATAACAATTTTTCATGCACACTTCCTGCATACATATATATTATAATATAAATTAACACATGTGCTAAAGCTAGGAATATCTTTTATATCATCCTGACGACTTTGAACTGATCTTAATTCTTGCAATAAACTTCCTCTACTGGTCATTACTAATTAAAGAATAGCCATATTCAACTTCCCGAGACACATAAATATTTAAAGCATAGAATCCCAGATGCATGAAGAAAAGACCTCTCGTTTTAGCCAGCATTATATATTATGTATATTATTACTCGATATGTGCTTCCCGAAAAACGGTCAGCATGGTAAAGGTGATTCGAAATTTTCCATCAATGAAATCCATCATATAATTTTTTTTTGAAAAAGTATTGCTCAAAATGTGACGAGGATAATTATCAGGAAAAGTTAAAAATGAGTAAGAGAGAATGTATGCATATTGAGACATTTAAAATAATTAATTTCTAAATGTTTACCAAATCTTCCCCAGTAAACTGAAGGTCCAAAGGTAGGTTTCTTTGGCAAAACATACAAAGCCTTCTTTTCCAAAGTCGTCTTCATTTCCGAAGGCAAGAGGTCTGAGTATAACTTGGAATACATCTTTTTGGTTGCATAATACTTTATTAGCGTGTTCAGTGCTCTTTGCACATTAAATTTCCGCACTCGAAGAAATTTGATCAAGAAGTCATCTTCCAATAATGGATTCAAATCAGGAACCTCTGGAATATATACAAATATCCATAAACACAAATGCCTTCACTGAAAAGAATTTTAAAATACAAAATTAAGATTCAGTAAATGACAATCTATGAAATATAGTATATTGGGCGAATAATTTTAAAGCTTTGTTTATGCTGGGAAAACTGTTTCTTTTCATTTGATGGCATAGTTTAAAAAAAAATGCTAATTTAAAATTTCGAACTATTTTTATTTACAGTTTTGAATTATCCTATATTTCACCTTACAGAAGAAAATCATAACATAATACTAATTCATTTGTTTATTTATTTATTTATATTTTATTATTAGTATCGTGATCTTCGAAGCTTATGATTCAAAATAAATTAGATTTTCGGAAACTCATATCTTAAGGGTCAAAAATCTGTAATGGTCTTTGAAATAGTAATTAAATAGCCATCATCTCTGTAAACTCGGCGCCGCGTAGGTTTTTTTTTTTTTTTTTTTTTTCCCGCATCGGGAATAGTCAAAATCTACTTCTCTCAAACATATGCAACACCCATATATACAAATTTTTGTTGGAATGGATTTCCTTTTCGTACGCCAAGTAGAATGTTAAGCGTTAACAACAACCTACTTAATGGGGCGATATTTGTGCGGTTTCACTCAATGCGAGGAAATTCCCTTAGGACAAGACTGCAAATGGGAGCAGAAGGTTGATGCTAAACAAAAAGAGATGGAAGATGCTTTCAAATAACACAGCTACGTTTAGTCTCTTCAAAAGAATGATTCGCATTTCATTTACAAAAATCTGGAAACCAATGATCTATGCATTAACGGAATAGGGAGAAAGCACCAGGTTAAAAATAGTTGCAGACCTTCGGGAGGCCTGCTGATCTCTGAGTGCTTGGGTATTTCGAGCGCCTTCTCTCAGAAAGAGTTAAATAGGAGTTCAAGTGATGACGTGCAGTTGCAAGGTATATTTCATCGCGCTATTTTGCCAAACTCTACAGTGATTCAATGTTTCAAGTACGCGCACCGGCTTAAACAGTTCCAAACGCTGAATATATTTGTCTACTTGCTTCGTATGCGATCCCATAGATAGATCCCAAATTTTCATCATTAGCTGGGTTACCATCTTCACTTGGTAAATAGACATGAAAGCCAAACAAAAATCAGTTATCGCTCAGATTGGCGAAAGAGACATTTGCTTTCAAATTCTGTGTATATACAAAATATATTTTGTAATCATTTTAATACTGTTTGCTCAGTACTTTGGCAAAAGGACATGTGTTTATTACATTAATTGCTACTTTTAAATTGTATATTTTTTACTACAATTCTTGAATTGAGCTGCTGTATATATATATATATATATATATATATTTCCAATGGCAAATTGTGAAAAGTTACAGTGTAACTCAGTTCATTAATCTGTACAAGGCCAGATGTGGTGGTCTCTTTATTATGGAGGCACCTAATAGGTGGGCCAACATCGCCTCCTATGAAGGGACGGACAGTTACAACCATGCCTTCTCCGGGCTTTGAACCCAGGCCCTTCGGTATCGCAGTCAGCTTCCCTAACCACTATGTCGACTGGGCGGCAGCTGATGTATATGTTTTCGTAAATATTTTTACATCGTACAGACCGGTATTTCCACGAAACATTCAGTGATTTGTCATTATTTCTGATTTTATTATTGTAAACAGTATTTTCGTATCCATATATTTATTTAATAACTTTTATGTACACAATATATTGTCATTTACTAATATATGCTTTGTGATGAGTCAAAAATATTTATTTTATCCCAAAAATGTTAAATATTTCCTAAAGATTATTTGCTCAGTTTTTTTTTTTTTTTTTTTTTTTTTTTTTGTTGTTGTTTAAATTTCCATGTAAATTACAAATGCAAAGGTTGTGTGTAAGTAGGTGAATCTTAATGACTAGCCTAATGCACAAAATGTACTTCAATTATTTTTCAGCTGTGCATTCCAAATCTAGGATAATGGGCAAAGAACTGATGATTACAGTTGCTGCCAATTACATGATCGTTATATGAATTAAAAGTAACTTCAAATAAACTTTTGGGCAATTTTCATTTTTGGATTTCTACATATATATACACACATCTAATAAGTCATATATTTACATACAGGGAGAGATGCGATGGCTTAGAAGTTGTTGATGTACGATTATTAGCATTAATGTAATGAATATGATATATATTAATGAATGTATAAACAAATGTATTTCATCATTCATAATAATAAATCCATAAATTCCAGTGTTTCAATATGTAGTATTTATAATCAAAATATAGTTCTTAATGTATTTATAATCTAAAAAATATTTCATTAATAATATGAAAATAATAGCATACTAAATTTAATGTGTATTTCTCATTATTACAAAAGCCATGTTTTTCCTCTTTTACGCGCGTTCACCAGCGGCCGAGCGGTAAAGACGCTAAACACTGGTAGTTCGGTCCGAGATTTGAATCCCACGAACGGACTGGCTGCATGGGCGTTTTTGTGGTTTTCCCCGTGTGTAAAGTGTATACGAGCCAGTTTCCCTTAGAAAGTCCTCCACGAAGGCATCCCTCCCTTTTAGGCAGATAGCCCTCGTGTGCTTTGTCATAATTAAATAATCCAATCCTTTTTTACGCACCTTTTATGTTGCTTAGAGTATGTCGCTGATTATGCAATTTCAATTTAAAAGATAAGTAATTAGTAGAAAAGTAAAGTCGTACATATACAAGTAGATTTTAAAAAATTATTCACTTTAAATTTAATAACAAAATTCTATTATATACAAATCAATAAAATCTATTAAAATAGATTCTATTATGTAAAAATAACATTTCTTTTCACACAATCATCACGAAATACGACAAATTTGGCGAACTTTTGGCGACGAATGGTTTGTAAACAAACTCAAAAGCACGGCATAAAATACTGTCTGCTCTGAAATTTCCACGATTATAAATTTAATGAATATAGAAACATTTTAAAAATGACTTAGACAGTTATAATACAACAAAACACCAATACATATATACGGCCTTTTCCGTATTTCTTCAATTAAATCGACTTCTATTTCCACCATCCAGGATCTCAAAGTTTCAGCCATATTGAAAATCACCCTTGTTCCTTCAGAAGTAGAACTTTCGTCTGATTGGTTGATCTCTACGTGGAACATAGCTGCAAGCGAAACATTTTCGGAAATGTTTCTCGTTTTCGGGACATCGCTTCCTCGGCTAGATGGAACATTTCTCGGAAACCTCCCGTTTAAACCTTTCGCTACGCATCCTGCTATTTCCACGGGCAAAGTAGAAGTAGCAAAATATGCGCAACCCGTGATATCCGCGGGGATGAATTTTTGCCGTCTGTGCAACCCCCTCTTTCCCCGTTCAAGGTTTCCTTTCGGCTTTTCTGTGATGTTTAATTGCTTATTTAGATGTAGGCTAACAGATGGCGTTAATTGTCCACATTTCTGCCAAATAAACAAGAATACGTAATTTAGGATTTTGTGCGCGCTTTTCAGAGCTCAAAGATGTCTGGCAGGAAGTTATAGTGAAACTGATGCGAATTTCTTGGATTCCTCTACAGATAGTTATGAATCTGAAAATTCAGTTTCTATTCAAAAAGTTCAACAGTGGTGCAAAATTCATATGCAATATATTACATCATGCAAATATTTTCATTATTATATATGTTTTACTTTTGTATTTTATAAATAAATCATAATTAAACCAATATTAATTTTCAAATTTTCCTTTTATATCATTATTCTTCAATTTCAGTATTCTGACAACCTTTTTCTATGATCTAATTCTATATTGAAAAAAAAAAAAAAAAACTCTTTTGCAAAAAATTTTTGTATATTTTAACTCTAAACTAATAATTTATTTCCTAAACAATATTGATTAATTGATTATATCATCTCCTAAGTTTAATTAAAGTAGAATTATTTTAAAATAGTGAATCCATGCTGGTAAGTTATATTTTAATGTAGATTTGAAATATGTAATTAAAAAATACGCAATTTTCAGCCTAATTTGATAAAAGAAGTATGCAGCGAGAGAGTTAACAGAATTTGTCATAAAGGTCAATATAAAACCAGAGTTTCCAAAATTCCAGAGTTTTCATAACAGGCTGTTACAGTGTGAACGCCGAACGGGAGCACATCTTTCCGATGTCATCTTTAAAAAGTAAAGAGACACTTTTGGACATTTTGATTATAAAAACATAAACGGCATGCTGAATACATGCACTTTCGTTAATAAATTACTAGTTTTATGAATTTATTCGTGGAAATGACATTATTTCGAAATTTCCCGTTTCCCTGCGCCACCCTGTAGTATCTCGCTTCATAACACTCTAGATATAGTTAGTTCTTATTTCTTATTTTTGAGTTTAAGCCGAAGTGGAGGCTTCGAGTGTAAGCCCGAAGAAAGGAGACGACTGTTCATCTTATTTTAAGTGAAATAAAGGGTAGTTAACACTTGTTTACGATTCCTGTTATTTGAACTAAGCGTTAAGTTCATTAGGCTCCTCGACATTTACTTTAATACAATAAGAGTGAGGAACTCTGCAAACAAACTCAGTGACAACAAACTCAAACAAACTCAGTGACAACAAACTCAATGATTTCAAAGCGAGCAATTCTTTGAAACTGCACGGAATAGCACTGCACCGAAAAAAAAAATTTTTATCTCCAGCCCACGAGACTATCTATCGGAAACTCTAACGATATGCTCTTTTTAAATTATTTTGTGATATTGCTGTTTAATTAAATTTTATGGTTTCAATGTGAAAAACATGCTAATTAATAAATAACGATAACCCACAAGATGTTAAAAACCGCCCCTTTGGGCTTAATGTGAAAACTTTCATATTCAGCAAAGGGCGTTAGCCCAGAAGGACCATTAATTTCATTTTGGCATTTTGCGTTGATTTATTATAAAAGTCTGAATAGGTTTTTAAATTTTTACCACCAAATATTAGAGCCCTGCATTATATTTAAAGAAATTAAATACTAATGAGTAATTTGCAATTATGTATGTATGTTTCTCGCACTGTGAGAAAACAACGGTAACTGAAGACATCCAATTTTGAATAACTTAGTCCTATACTCGAATAGGAGCATCCGTAAGCCCAAATTTGGAATCTGGAATTTGTTTTATTATCTATTTCATATTTTGTAAAGCATTAATAATTAAATTTTTTAATTAAAAAACTCGACGATTTCAAAGCGGGCAATGGCAACACTGTACGAGAGGGGGGGGGAGGAATTTTATCTCCAGAGCGCAAGACTGTCTATCGGAAATTCTAAAAATATACTCACTTTAAAATTATTTTGCTGTTGAATTTAGTTTTATGGTTAAAGTGCGAATAGTTAATAAATAGAGGTAACACACAAAATGTTAAAAAAACGCCCCTTTGGGCACAATACAAAAGCTGATAGCAGATTTCAGATTTTTTTTTTTTTTTTTATTTACCTTAAAACGAGTCGAGATTATAAGAAAGGAGAAAGTGAATATATTTATTCATATTTTCTTAGCAGCTGTTTGTTTTCAATTATTTGAAGGGTATAATTAGAAAGAGAAATCAATGAAGCTTTCGAAACTATGAAAAAGAGCTTTCAAGAATTTATTGAACATGGCTCAGAGGAGCGGGGGGTCGGAGAGAAGTTATTAAACGGGAGTTAAATATCTTGAGATACGGAGCCCATCTTTGCAGTTACTTCAACTGCAGTGAAAGAAAGAATATGTTAACTTTAAATGAAATAAAATTGCTTTTTAAATTAAAATATTGTAAAATAAAATATTTACATATACTGAGGGATGATATTACATTGATTAATGTAAATAACTGATGATACGTGTATTAACCGAGTGAATGCTGACTTTTATGATGTATAAAGCATTGCTGAAATTATCATTTATAAAACTTTTAAATTCGTTTTCTCTGGTATATTAAAGAAATTATATCATTTTTCAAATTTTGCCGCCAAACATTATCGCCCTGTATTATATTTAAAGCCATTAAGTAATCAAGAATCTGCATGAATGTGTGCGTGTTTTTTGTATTATGAAAAAAATAACGGTACATAGAACCATCAAATGTTGAATAATGTAGTTCTCCACCCGAATATGGGCATCTGGAAGCCCGAATTTTGAATTTCGAATTAGTTTTATTTTCTATTTCATATTTTATAAAACTTTAACGAATTTTTTATTAACAAACTCAACAGTTTCAAAGACAGCAACACTGTACGGAATAATACACTTTTAACTCCAGCACGCCAGACTACTCTAAAGATATGTTGTTTTTAAATATATTGTGATTTTAATGTTGAATTGAATTTTACGTCGAGTAAGCGCTAAGAATGTGGTATTTAATAAATAACGTAAACGCACAAAACATTCATACTTTAAAAAAAAAAAAAAAAAAAAAGTAAAACCATTCTAGCAAAAGGATTGAAAATTTATATGATAAACTGAGAAATGATTGAAAAATATATTCAACATTCAAAGCTGCATCGAGAATTCTAAATGTATACTACTATGCTGTTTTTTAAATTTTTGCTATTTTGTTGTTGAATTGTATATGGCATAAGTGCGGAGAAAATGAGGCTTAATAATAAAGCTAAAAAGACAAAAAAATTTTTTTAGTCGGAATGAGTGCAACAGCAAGCTGGTAGACAGCGAGCTCAGCGAGAGCATAAAAAGCCTTAATAAACTGTTTCCGGCGACAGTTAAAATCTGAAACCTTTCAAATTTTTACTTTTCGATATTTTATTCTTTTAACTGTTGTTTGATATTCTAAATTATCTTCTACCGGAAACAACTACCTGTGTCATTGTCGAGATGGAGGTTTTTTTTCAGTACAATTTCTCTCACTCGCGTTTGATATCAACCTCCATTCGCTATAAATGTAAAGAACGTAGAATATTTATTTCCACTATTATAAATTTGTAAATGCTTCTAGCAGCATAGAATAGTTTTCCGATCATGCCTCATTGAGAACGACCATTGCACACTAATTCCATTAGTGTTGAATAATATTCAAACCAAATTTGGCATCTTCATTTTAAACAAACAAAAACAACACCAAAAATCTGAAAGGTTTCAGATTTTACATTACGCCCAAAGGGGCGTTTTTTGAAAGTTTTGTGTGTTACCTTTATCTATTAAATATTATTTTCTTCGCATTTAAACCATAAAATTCAATTCAACAACAATATTGCAAAGTAATTTTAAAATGAGCATATCTTTAGACTTTTCGATACACAGTCTCTCGCGCTGGAGATAATTTTTTTTTTTTTTTTTTCGTATACTGTTGCCATTGCTCGCTTTGAAATCGCTGAGTTTGTTAATCAAAAATTAGTCAAAGTGTTACAAAATATGAAATAGATAATAAAACTAAATGTAAATTCCAAATTAGGGCTTCCTGTTGCCCATATTCGGTGGAGAATTAAGTCATTCAAAATTAGATGGCTCTAGGTACCGTGATTTTATCACAATGCGAGAAACATACATACCTTTATGCAGATTCTTCATTGTTTTAATTTCTTTAAATATAGTACAGGACCGTATCATTTGATGGCAACAATTTGAAAACTGATACGCCGTTTATAGTGATTAACGTAAAATGCCAAAACGAAATTAATAGCCCTTCTGGGCTAACACCCTTTGCGCTAATAAATACCTTTGTCTATATATGCATACATGTAAGTTTTAAATATACGTACCTATAAATTTAGAATATTATATATAACTTAAAAAGCTACATAACCTGACACTATTGTTTTAAAGAGTACAATAAGACGGAGAAAAATGTAAATTTCAGTAATTACCTTTTAGGAGCTGTTTGAGCTTTTCAAGTGATTCCTTTCTTATAAGCTCTGTTTCGCCAAGCTCACTTTCTGCTATTTTTTCCATTTCTTCTTTAAAGTTCTTAATTACTGGTAGCATAAATGCTTGCCTTGACGGTTAAATATTTAGGAAACTGAATGAACTAAAAAATTAAGCTGAAATTGAAGGAAAATTTCCTTCAACTTAGTATGTCATATGAAGCAGTGATAATGTTTCCTAGAATGAACTGTGCGATAAATTATACCGTAGGAAAAATTTACAAGGACAGCTTTATAATACTCACCCAAACATTACATAATATGATCACGCAAACTTTCTTAACTTATGTACGTTTGTTGAAAGTATTAAGGCTGGGAGAAAATGACACAAAGTGCTTTCTGTATTCTTGTACGTGTGATTGAAATACTGTAAAATAATTTTTTGACATTTCCGTAATCAGACAATTGTTAATTTATTTGTTCAGATAGAATTTCCAGCTTCTAGCTTTCAGTTTTATTCAAGTGTAATATCTTAAAACTATATAAATAAATATAAAATATATAAATATAAAATAAATATACAACATATAAATATAAAATAAATATAAAATATATAAATATAAATAAATATATAAATATAAATAAATATAAAAAATGTATTTATCAACTAGCGGAAGTACCCAATGGCAGTTAAGTTAGATTGAGAGTAATGCATCTAACAACAGAGAGAATGATACCGCTGTAATTCTTCTCGAATAACGACGCAAAAAATACGATTCATAATCATATACTTTTCAGTCATGCGATATGGAACTCACATAAAAAATTTCCATAGAAAATAAACTAATTCTCTCTCATCATATGGGCAACAATGGCACGCAGTTTTTAATGCTTTTCGTCTTTCTGATCAAATGGTTGTAAAAGCTCAAGTTCCATCCTATTTCACTTATATTCACTTTTAGTCGATTAAATGTGGCAAAACATTTATCATAATTAATCAGAAATCAGTAAGTTGAACAAGCAAACACACAAACAGACATTCTTCATTATATAGATTTTATAAAACATACAAATTTTTGATTAACAAACTCTACGATTTGAAAGCTAGCAGTAGCAACACTTTTGTAAATAAAGCATTCTTATCTCCAAGCGCAAGACTGTTGCCACTCGGAAGAATGAGTGCGAAAATTACTGTTTTCGGAATTTTTTATTAATATCTCGGCTGATTAAAGTCGTACGCAGACGAAATGATTTCCCACGAAATTTTTGGAATCGGGAATAATGTATTTAATGTTTGGCAATACTATTTTTATTTCATTGCAAAACTTAGAAGTTTTTTATTAACAAACTCTACGATTTGAAAGCGAGCAGTAGCAACACTTTTGTAAATAAAGCATTCTTATCTCCAAGCGCGAGACTGTTGCCACTCGGAAGAATGAGTGCGAAAATTACTGTTTTCGGAATTTTTTATTAATATCTCGGCTGATTAAAGTCATACCAGACGAAATGACTTCCCACGAATTTTTTGGAATCGGGAATAATGTATTTAATGTTTAGCAATGCTATTTTTATTTCATTATAAAACTTAGAAATTTTTTATTAACAAACTCTACGATCTGAAAGCGAGCAGTGGCAATAATTTTCGAAACAAAGCAGATTTTCATTTACAGCTTGCGAGACTTTTGCTACTCGGAAAAGTGAGGGCGAAAATTAGCGTTTTCTCCGAGTTTTTAATTAACATCTCTGATTTTAGGTACTTTTTTTTTTTTTTTTTTGGCGTGGGAAAATGTGGACGTCGACCTTTTCCAGGACCCAGAAAAGAATTGTAGTCAAAGTTGTAGAGTTGGTGATGATAGCTACACAGATGTGCACTTGTGAAATAGTATGCGTATGGTGATTCATTTAAAATAATAATTGGGAATGATTCATTTAAAATAAGCACGTTATTCCTAGTATGGATTAGTAACAATTTTAGTACCTTGTATAACAGGAGGTAGTTTTCACATTACATAGAATGCCCGTACAGAGTTTGACCCGCGTCATACCGAAACCATGTTGTATAAACACTAAATTACAGAGCCTGTTATCACATGTTTTAGACCTCATTGTCTTTTCAAAAATATTTTACCTGAAATTTTAACGTTTTAAATGCTCTGTATGATAACCCTTATTCTTTACTATATATTTACACCGTAATTTCCAAGACAATAAAGACTTTTTTAGGATCGAAAGAGGTATTTTATCCCATTCCTCTTGAAGAGAGAAGAAGGTTCTAGGCTGATGTTTGGACAACCCGCTTTTTAAAAGTCCAAAAGCGAAAAAATCCATGGGTATCCATGGGTCCAAAAGCGAAAAAATCCATATTAGGGGATTTAGTAAGAACATAAGTGAAGGGTATGGCCTTGATACCCATTTCTTGCTCCGTGTTTTCCAGGAAATGAACAGTGGGTTTTGACGTGTGGCTACTTGCTTTGTCTTGATGCAGTTCTACGGATTCATGACACTGTGGGTAAAGACAAGGTATTTCATATTTGAGAAACTGGTTACAAAATATATTCCTGATAATATGTAGAGTTGTTTTCAATATCCACTCCTCCACTGTCTTTCTTTTTAATTTGCCGTTATATGAAAAATCAATAACAATCATAAATCCCTTTGAAAAACTTTTAGATTCTTTGAAACATGAAGATTTTTTCTCGTCTTTGATGAAAACATACAGATCTCTTTTATTGCAGTCATTTAAATACACCCACGTATACTCATCTACTGAAAACAACTTTTATGTCTGGATAGATATTTCTCATAAAGAATTCTGCAGGGCGCTCTGAGTTCGGGGATATGTCGTGGAGAAAGACGATGCACATTATGTTTTTTCGCCTTTTTGAGACTGAAATCAGAATTAATCGCTTTAATTAGTTGACACTGAGCATTTTAATGATTTTGTAGCTGTCCTTTGACTTTGTGATTTTTTTTTTTTTTTTTTTTTTTTTTTTACATTAAAGATATTTCCTTTGAAATAAATGAAACACGCCGCTTTTTTCCTGGATGTGTCCCCCCTCTCTTACTGACAACACTACCTATCGTAGCTTTAGATATCGGAAATTTATGGTTTTCACTGCCTTTTTTAATAACTAGACAAGAATAATTTTCTTCAGAAAGAAAACAAATATAGCCTTTCATCCATTGTTACTTTAAAAGCGTCATTTTGCATGAAAACAAAACTATCTAGTAGCAAAGGATAATTAAAATACTTTCAAAAATATAGTTGAAGTTACAAAAATTTCCAAGCAGACAAATTTTTATAACAAAGTCGTCTAAAAAGTCTGCGAACAGCCACTATATAAACCTGTAAGAGTATTACGTTTGAGAATTCTGGACTGTTGCCACACAGATTGAAGGTATTCTCAATTCTCGTCTAATTTTACCTTCATCAAAATATGCGAATGATCTTGAGACTTTAACACTGAGTCTCTCTTTTTTTTTTTTTTTTTCAGTCTAAAAGGATTTGAGTCCCGAACTACTGTTACTTTCGTTTTGGCATTTTGCGTCGGACTCCCATAAATGTCGGTTCACTTTTCGAACTGTTGCTACAAAATGTTAGAGTCCCTCATTATATTTGAAGAAATTAAATAATGAAAAATCTGCATTAATGTATGCATATTTCTCGCTTTGTGATAAATAACGATATCTAGAGGCCATCCAATTTTGAATGACGTAATCCTCCTGCGATTATGGGCATCTGAAATCCCAAATTTGAAATTTGAAATTTGTTTTATTATCGATTTCATATTTTGCAAAACTTTAACGAATTTTTGTGTAACAAACTCAACGATTTTAAAGCGAGCAACACTCTACGGGGTAGGGGGGGGAACCTTTTTATTTTTTGCGCGTATTGAACTGTGTATCGGAAATTCTAAAAATATGCTCATTTTAAAATTATTTTGCGACATTGCTATTGAACTAAATTTTATGGTTTAAGTGCAAAGGACATGATATGTAATAAATAAATGTAACACACAAAACGTTAAAAAAACACCCCTTTGGACGTAATTTAAAATCTGAAACATTTCAGATTTTGTTTTCTTTCTTTCTTTCTTTTTTTCCTTCCCCCCCCTTTTTTTTTTTTTTTTTTTTTTTTTGGAGGAGGCGTTTTATTGCTTCTTATCTTGAACCTGATTCTGAAACTTTCTAAATGGCAGATTATTACCAAAGTTAATTCAAATTATTTGGAAACGTTGGCAAACTGATTGTTGAAATCCTCTTCAATAACGCACCAAATGGTTTATTAATAATTGAAATTTAAGGGATGTATGGTAGTTGGATTAAAGGATGATAATCTTCCCGCATTTAAATGGTCTTTAGCCAGAACTGTGTAAGTTTAAAAAGATAATAAAACCAGAGTTGTTAAAGTGAAAACATCAAATGGTGAATATATCCGATGTATGTTTACTTCCTATCCAGAATAAAATGCTTAGTTTTACATTACTGTATTATTATTGAAAATTGCTCATTATATTGAAAAACTGTAGTAAAGTAAGACTGTAGTGTAGCAAGTAAAACTGTAGCAGTGAATTAATTTATGCCTTTTATAATGTTTTTAGTATTTTATACTTATTTCACGATTATTTATATTGTATTCATGATGAAAAATTACCTATTAGCTTTCATATTCGGATTGCATAATTAGTTTTCTTGAAACTGTTAAACTGTATGTTTACTGAAATTTGGAATTTCAATTGGGGGCTGCTTATTAAGTTAGAATACAACGCCATCTATTTCAGAGAGAAAGAAACTCGCACTTGGCCACTGGTTCCGGCTAAGCCAACGTGACAAAGCATGTACTAGTACTTAATTAGTAATTACCGTTAATAAATTTGTTAGCGTTCTTTATAATTCAATCTGCTCATTTCGTCTAGAATTATAGAAACATAGTACAAATACCAAACTGTAAGAGTGTTACGTTTGAGCGAGGAGTTTCTAAATGCAAATGATTTTATTTATTTTTAGTTTCCCCTTCTTTATGCTTATTAAATCGACGTGTATCATAAAACACACTGCGTTATATCGATTGAATTAATGAGCTAATAATAAATCATTCTGTTTCCCTTTTCTCTTGATGACTATAACCACT